AGGGTGGGGAGGGGCTGGGGGAGGGGAGGGTGGGGAGGGGCTGGGGGAGGAGGGGAGGGGCTGGATGGGGAGGGTGGGGCTGGGTGGGGGGTGGGAGGGGTGGGGCTGGGTGGGGAGGGGCTGGTCACCCCGTGGTGCCCTTATAAAACTCAACGTTTAACCTACACACTACACTATACACGACACGATAAACTACACCAGGGGTCCTCAAACTACGGCCCGCGGGCCACATGCGGCCCACCGAGGACATTTATCCGGCCCATGGTCACTAATTGGGCTGCGGTGGTGGGCACTCATTGGGCTGCGGTGGCGAGCACTGATTTGGCTGCGCTGGTGAGCACTGATTGAGCTGCGGCGGTGAGCACTGATTGAGCTGCGGCGGTGGGCACTCATTGGGCTGCGCTGGTGAATGGTTCAATGGGCCAATTGACTGGACTTGCCCCCCAGGCCTAAGGCTGCCAGCCCTCCCCTGGCTGTACTTGACTGGCTCTCCCTCCCTCAGCTCACTCACTTGCCCCTCGGCTCCACTCCCAGTGATATTCCTGTGTGCTGAGTAAATGATAGAGGGGTAATAACAGAGTGATCTCTGATCTCTGGAGGGGCTGCCTGCTGTTTTCCCGTGCTGGTCAGTGACAGACAGCCGAGGAGTAGGAAACCCAATTTAAATGACAGTAAGTGCATTTATATTCTGATTGCTATTCAGTTGTATGAGGTTATATGTTGTATGTTGTGTAAGCCCCGGTTCATACTGTTGCGATCTCTGAGCAGTGCGAGTTCAGCCATATGCTTGTATGGCTGAACTTGCATTAGATTCGGAAGAAAAAAGGCACATGTGCCTTCTTTTTTCCTGCAGTGGAATCGGATCGCATGGGTCTTCTCCCCCATGCGATCAGATTCCTATGCGAGTTCGCAGATCGCACTGCGATCTGTGAACAAAACTGCAGGTGTAATTAACTTTTTAATGGCACCCGCACCAGTGTGAGCCTGGGGTAAAAGCGGAGTTCCCCCAATCAGACAGCATTGATGGGCAGTGCAGTCTGTATGTCTCTGTGTGGGCAAAGTTATTGCTGGTATATTGTTTTTGTAGCGCTGTATATGTATATTGGTATTTTACTAATAGCAATTTTGACTCCCTTGGAAACAATGATGTCAAGAAAGAGAAAAATTGACTCGGAGTGTAGGATATTCAAAGAACAGTGGACTTATGATTACTTTTTCATGCAGTACAAGGAAAGAGCTGTGTGTCTGATATGCCAGAACATAGTGTCTGTGTTCAAAGAATACAATTTACGTCGACACTATGAAACTCAACATAAAGATAAATATGATTGGTCGGAGAAGTGAAAAAAGATAAAATATTAAAACTGAAAAATACACACTACAATGACAATAGTTTAAAGTTTAAACTATTGTCATTGTAGTGTGTATTTAATGTGGCGCTGCACTCTGATGTTTTAGGAGAAAACATTTATTAAAAAGTCTATTTAATTAAGTAGAACGTGTTGTCTATATTTATTTAAAGTTGCGCATTTTGATGTGACGTCACATTTATCAACCCCACCCCCCCCCAATCGTCACACATGTCTGACCCCCCCCCCCCAGGTGCGTGACGTCATTTATGGACGGCCCCCGAGTCCCCTGCCTCTGAGAGTTCCCAGCGGCTTGAACAAAAAACCTTCAACCTCGACAGACAACGCGAGACCACTACCACCTCTGCCATTGCCTCATGTCAGCACTGTACTGGCCTGCGTGCTGAACTTCTTCCGCACCGTACGTAGCTAGTCCGAGGTGCTAATTTAGGATCCCTCTCCAACTTCCACCTCTTCGCTGCCCCCCCCCCCCCTAGGGCAGACGTTGACAGCGGGCACGGGCTACGGAGCATGGATCCCGTGCAGGAGAAATGTCGAATGTGCGTGGGGAGCGTCAGCGCAGCACGCGGACACGGCGAGTCCAAGGTGCACGCACACCACAGGCGGCGCAGGCGAGACCCCAGCAAGTCTGGACTTGCGCGAGAAAAATAATAAAATTATCATCTAAATCACTCAACACGAATTGGTTAACGCTTGTCACTTATAATCCAGAGTGACGCCTCGCGTGTCGCTTGTTGTTGTGTTTGTTACCCGGGCATGGCAGCTGCGCGTATTGTGCGTCGTGTTGTGTGTGTTAGTCTGTAAGTTCGTTGTGAATGTTGTGGATTTGCTCTCCAGCACACAACCGATTAGTGCGGTGCTCGTCACGAATTGGCCACGTTCTGTTTACGTGACAAACCCCTTACTAGTTGGCTGTGTCGGGTGGTGGCGGGTTTAACGACACATTTATATTTACGCGATTTAACCCAAAACACGTCTAGTATGTAACTGTGTCTGTATGTTGTATGTATCTGTGTATGTATCTATGTACCCGTGTATGTATGTTGTATGTATATTGTATGTATGTAACTGTGTGTGTAACTATGTATGTTGTATGTATGTATCTGTGTATGTATCTGTGTATGTATCTGTGTGCGTAAGTTGAACTTCTTCCGCACCGTACGTGGCCACGCGTGGTGATCGCGGGCGAGGCCGAGCGACGCGAGAGGGGTGAGGGGGGGGCAGCTGCGGGTCGCCCCCCCCGCGCCCTGGGGGCTCCGTCACCGCCGCCATGGGGGCTCCGCGCGGGGGCGCCAGGAGGAGGAGGCGCCGCGTGATGCACAAGTCGCCGCGTGGCCCCGCGGTGAGCGCCGGGAAGGGCCGTCACCTGACAGTGGCGCCTACGCACGAACCTCCAGCTCACCAGGGGCCATGTCACCGCCGTCTCTCGCCTCCACCGCCTCCACCGCCGCCGCCGATATTAACGCGGCAGTGACGAGTCAGACCGCGGCAGTCATCGCAAGGGACGATTCGGACATCCCCCACGCGAGCTCGGCACGAGATCCGTCTTCGTCGTGGTCATCCTGCACGTGGTGCCGAGGGGCTGCTGCTGCTGCTGGGAGCGCGTCGCGTGCAGGTGCCCGCGTGAGCTCGCCCGGGGGGAGTTGTCGGCACGACGACCCGAGCCGCAGCCCGAGCCGAGCGGTGACAATGGGTCTCCTTGCGTCGCGAGTGGCGTCGCTGCTGGACGGAATGTTCACTCAGCAAGCGCGCGTGCTGCTGCTGGGTTTGGACGCGGCCGGGAAAACCAGCATCCTGTACAAGCTCAAGCTCGACGAGTTGTGTCCACTGGTCGAAACTTCACTCGAGCGAACGCCGTCATTCAAACCAACAGCTCGCTGTGTGTGCCTCTGCGTGTGTGGATGTCTCTTGGTGTGCTGTTGCTCTGGTTGTCCCTCTGGGCTGCCCAGAAATATCTTTCCATGTGTGTCTTCTCTGTGTATGTACCTCGTGTCTGTTCACGAGTCCCTGTCCTCTGTTTTTACGTTGGCATGTTCAGCCCAGATGATGAACACGAGAGGTGTATGTCTTTTGAAATACGTGGTCAACCAGGTCAGTGTCTTACTGTGTTGTTGGCCGACTGGTTTGCATCACGTGATTGTTTCTAAGGTCTGTTGAGTTTCTCGTCTCCCATCTTCTTGTTGCATTTGCTTACGTGTAGTTCGCCGTTCTCTATGTGCTATGTACGTGATGTCCCCCTGTGTGTTCCCTCTTTCTATGTTTCACCCCATTTTCACCTGATGATGAGCGCTTGTGTTGCGTTCGAAACGTCGTGATTTATTTAAATTTAATTTATTTAAATTTTATTTTATTTCTACATACGTGTCTTTACCGGAAAAAAAACAATGAGTAAAACAGCTTGTTGTGAAAGACCCAATGCAGAAGATCGCTGGGTTTGGTCTTCCACGAAGCTGCTCACGGTCCACCCTAAACCGCAACCACTGCACAAAACACGGCAGTAGATGCGGATACCCTGATGCACAAACGTTAAATTAGAAACTCTCCAGGAGCCTGCGACTGTGGCCATCCAGAACAGACCGTGCAACGTGTAACGGCGCAATGCCCGGTCCACAAACACGACGGAGACGTCACAGCGAGACACTCACTACCACTGCTTCTCACGCGGTGATCTTGGCTTGCCCACCTGGATGTGACTTCATAGTCGTCTGCTGTGCACCTGCATCAGCAGCCACACGAACGAAGCAGCAGCAGAAGAAGAGAACGCGGTCGCGTCCACGTGCACGCGCCACGCGACTGCGCGTGCCTCTCGCTGCGAGTGAACCTCCGCATCGTCGTCAACTGCGGACTGCAGGTTCACATTCGACGTCGGCTGTCGCTCTGTGATTCCACACTGGGGGGCAAACGCCTCCCCCGAGTTGATTCCGTTGCGCGCTTTCCTTGCAGCCGTCGCGTCGCGGCCTCCGGATGCTTTGGGTTCATCTCGCCATCTCTATGGGTCAACTTTGACCGCTCGTGGTTTAGATATATATATGTGAATGGCATCTGTAAATTAAAAGCGGCACAATCTCTGCAAGTTCTTTTTCATTGAAGGCACTTTAATGGCTCGTCTCATTTTCAGAAATACTTTTATAGACCAATAACATTTCCGAACATCTGGAGATAATTGTAGGATATATTTTTCCCGTCTGTCATACAATGAGATTGTTTGACCCTAATGGTTAAATTCATCAACTTACTCAATTTCCGTGCCCTTTGCGTTCACATGTTCTCTTAAACTGTCGTCAATTTACTTGTTTCTGGCTTTGCACTGCTCCATAAAATCTGTAATAAATTTTGAAACCTATTTTCGTGATAAATAATAAACTAGACAATGTAATCAGCGCAATGTAAATGTTTTAAATGTTTATGGTTCATATTCTCTCTGATTTCGTTACCCCGATGGTGATACGGGCGTTACCTTCACTGTTCGTGTCCTTCAGAGTGACAGATTGTTTACACTCCTCGTTGTCTTACACTCGCTAACTACGGATGGTGTACAGGACATGTAATGGAATGCCTTGTGGTATAAATCTATGACAGCTTGATCAATGTATTTGCCGTACGCGTTGTACTTGTCTGTTATTTGATTGAAGGTGGCCTGATGTTGATAATGATTTCATGAATTCTGTTTTCTTCGTCGGTTTGTTGTTGTCTAATGTATCACATTTTTAGTGGATAATGTTGATGAATATTTTGTAGATGCACGAACCGAGGCTGATAGTCGTATGATTATTAAGATCCAATCGTCACGTTTGTGCAATAAATAGTTTGGGATCAGACAGTGTCGTTACCGTTAAATGTTCTCGGATTGTGCGACCTGATTTACATCTTGCTTCAAGCAGTTCTTCTTGACTCGAGTTTAAGATTGTTGCCCAAGTTTTCATCTTCGGACGATCGCACGATTTAACGTGCCTATTAACGATGTAAAAGTATCCCTAGACGCAGCTGATGATACAACTACTGGCTCCACAGAAGCAAATGAAACGTGTTACTGCATTTTAGAGCCTTAACATTCACCACTTATCATCAGCGCCTCCAGCCTGCCACTGTCGAAGATATGGGGATGAGGCACCAGTAGCCGTCCTGCAAACCTCAAGGGTCAGAATCAGAACCTTTATTCATACCGGAGGAATCCGATGAGCTATAAAGCTCTTTTTCACAGGTGTACAGTAGGGACACGGGGTCAGAACGTTACAACAAACAATACAAAAACACGAAAGGAGTGGAAAAGATAGGAAAGAGGAAAAAAATATATTTAAACATAAATATACAAATAAAACTAAACGTGTGTTTTTATTTTCCAGATAAGGCCCACTGAACTATATATATTCTTTTTAAGAAGCGACCCGGCCACAAATTTTAGCTCAACGAAGCGGCTTATCACGTGGAAATTTATAATAGCAAAGTAATATAAATAATCTAAACGCTTGAAAGTTGATTCTAAATGTGGAGTGAATCCCGGAGGACAATCCACAAGACCACGGGGAGAGAGAGAGACATTCACACTCCAACTATACAACAAACGTCAGGGTGAGGATCGAACCCAAGCCCTCCTGTATACCAGGCGAGGTAGTTAACATCTCGCCACCGTGGCGCTGTCCACACACGGCAGGCCGAGTCCAGTGACTCTGCAAGAAAGAGACGTCACCATCTGCGGGTCACCCAATGTGTGTTGCCGGAGCAAGGTCTCCTCGCTCTCGGGAGTCCAATGGGGTCTGTCACCTATCCTGAAGCCTCACATATCAGAACGACCGCGAACTGTTCTACATTGTGCAGTGTTTGTGGGATCTGAAGAAGGTGGTTGCGATGGTGACGGTGAAACCACTCCGGTTCTCGTCGTCTTGCTGGTAGGGTTCAACATCAGGGGAATCCGCCATCTCATTTCAGTTTCTGCCGCAACAGCCCCGGCTCGTTCTGTGATCTTTACCCGTCAGAATGACTGCGATTCCCTTCGTTTTGGTCTCCCTGCCTCTGCCCTCACTCCCCTGCAACAAATTCAAAAGGCTTCAGTTGATTATCTTTAATTCTCACACTTCCCCTCTCCACTGGCTTCCCGTTCACTCCACCGCTGTATTTTCAAATACCTCACGCTCGACTTTAAATCTCTTCATGGCCTTGTCCCACCTCATCTCGCCTCTCTCATCTTCCATAAACCTCCTCGCATCCTCTTCATTCCCTTTCTTCTCTCTATCTCTATCCCTCCTCCCTGGCCCAATTCCGTTTTCAATTCTTCTCCCTCATTGCACATCTCCACTGGAAAAGAAGTCCTCTACATTGAGCAGCCCTGCTACCCCAAGTCTCAACACTGCCTATAGACTCAACATTGCCCACAGACTCAACACTGCCCACAGACTCAACACTGCCCATAGACTCAACATTGCCCACAGACTCAACATTGCCTATTGACTCAACACTGCCCATAGACTTATCACTGCCCGTAGAATCAACATTGCACCATAGACTCAACACTGCTCATAGACTCAACATTGCCCACAGACTCAACACTGCCTATAGACTGATCACTACCCGTAGAATCAACATTGCACCATAGACTCAACACTGCCCATAGACTCAACACTGCCCATAGATTTCGATTTAAAGCTTTCGTGACTGCAGGGATTCATCTTCTTGGTTCTTTCGGTAAAGTCACGTAGAAGGGAAGTAATAAAATAATAAAAATAAAACATAATAAAATAAAATAATTCTCACGACGTTTCGGCTACAACGCAAGCAGCCGTCTTCAGGTGAAGAATGAGACACTACCAAGCTAGGAGCTTATATATAAGCTGCGTTGGAGGTGGAAGAGCGCCTTAACAAAAAGAATGTGCATATGAAGAGGAATTTAGCATATTCATGGAAAATGCGTAGGAGGTGGGCGGGGGGGTTTCAAAGTCATATTATGCCCATGCATTATGCAGGATCAGCAGCACCAAAGGGGGGTGCAGAGAGTAGCAGTAACAAAGGAAAGGAATGTTAATGATATGTAGCTGCAGTTACTCAACAACCACGTAGAAAACTAAAGTATAAACTACATAAAAAACTAAAGTATAAACTGCATAGCACCATCAGTATACTTACTATACTCTACAATAAGCTGAGTTACTAACAGCAAGTAATACATTACAATTCTACGTCGTATAAATTATATAATATGCTTCCATCTAAACTTTATTCTCTTACATCACACGAGCATATACCGTACTATATACTGCCATAGATAAACCCAACATTAAATTATATACTGTATTGCTGTAAACCAACCTATACCTTATACATTTTAATATAACACTATGTATTATTTTACCCACCCTAATGTGTATCGAAATGGTTTATTACGTCCTTCCAATGATTGCTAAGCCAGAATCCATCTTCTCGGTTAAAATTGTCTCTGTGCTTGTATATGTGGATCGCCTCATGAACGAATCTCTCATGATAGCCAGATGGCTTGCAGAGAACCTCTGTCTTGGAACCTCTGTCATCTGGCCACATGGCCGTGCTGCTCTAGACCAATTTCTCGACCACATCAACTCCATACACCCAGCCATCAGATTCACCATGGAAGTCGAAAAAGATGGCAAGCTACCCTTTTTGGATGTCCTAATCAAAAGGAGACCTGATGGTTCAATGAGCCACTCTGTCTACAGGAAAGCCACCCATACGGATGCTTACCTAAAACCGGATTCCCACCACCATCCATCCCAGAAGAATTCCCTCATCAAGACTCTATATCATAGAGCCCAATGCATCTCCGACTCAACATTGCACCATAGACTCAACATTGCACCATAGACTCAACACTGCCCATAGACTCAACATTGCCCACAGACTCAACACTGACTATAGACTCAACACTGCCCATATACTCAACACTGACTATAGACTCAACACTGCCCATAGACTGATCACTGCCCATAGACTCAACACTGCACCATAGACTCAACACTACCCGTAGCCTCAACACTGCACCATAGACTCAACACTGCACCATAGACGCTCCACTGCACCATAGACTCAACACTGCCCCATAGACTCAACACTGCACCATCGACTCAACACTGCCCATAGACTCAACGCTGCCCATAGACTCTCTACTGCCTCTGTACATGAAGCAATCCTCACATGGCCCCTGTCAACTCCATCATTTCAATTGCGTCATCGTGTCGTGAGCTCCGTCAAGCGTCTTGAGTGAAGGCGCTGTCCATTTCATTCGTTCATCGCGCAGGGCTCGGGGAAAGGACCTCTTGCGACTCGCAGCGTTCCCATGAACTGCTTCTTGCCGCCCGAACACCGCTGTTCATCAGATGCTTAGAAACGTGATGTCTTTGTATTATTACACGCTTTTATTTAACTCACTCTGTCTGTTGTTGTCGTATCCTCAAATCTTGTAACTGAATTTTAACCCACTTCCCAATGTGGTATCGACTGCAAAACTTGGTATACTTATGTCATACTGATGACAATACTATATTCTATCATAAAAAACATAAAAAATATATATTTGTAAACATTATTTTTTATATGTTATGTTTCGGCTTGGGTCTCATTGTCCACGCTCAACTGATGTTGGCTGTAAATCAGCACGGTCCCTGACGTGATGGCAAGCTTCGGGGCCACTTCCTGGAGTCGTGGAGTTCTGCCATTACGAATACGGTACATTTCATTAAAGCGTGTTTTAAAAAAAAGTACTTTTAAATATTACTTATTACCTCAACGGTTAGAAATGGGTGGACCAGTGGGCGTAGTGGTTAGCACACTGTTGTCTGAACCTGGCCACATGAGTTGGATTCCTGGCCACGACTAACATGACCAGCGTGGTGAAGTATGATCACACAACCTTTAATGACTGATAGGGAATACGGTGGTCTTCATCCGGCAGTCCCGCGGGACGAAACTTTTTTACTTTTCTAACTTATTACAAAACATGTATTTGATTAAGTTATGTTTATTCATTTCAATGGCCAGTAATAAGAGGCACACGTTATTACCAAGTGTGAATCATTATCCAATTTAGCTCATAGCTGCTCACCAATGACATTCTAAAGTTGACAATGTTTATTAAAAGTCTGAAGTGTTAGAAGAGAACAGCGGTCTACTTGTTGACTTCTTCATTCACCACTTTAATTTAAAACGGGGACACGCAGTGTGGTGTCAGGGAGTGAGCTCACTTCCCAGGTCACTCGAGCGAACGAGGGGCCGTCCATAAATGACGTCACGCGATTTTGGACGATTTTTGACCCCCCCCCCCACCTCGTCACACGGCGTCACGAAAAGTCAGACCCCCCCCCCTCAAATATGACGTCACAAAGCTCTGCCCCCCCCCCCCCATCCAAAATAAAACACGCTTCAAATCGCTTTAAAGTTTAGAGAGTTACGTGTTTAGAGGTTTCTGTGTTTCGATCGTTGGATGTTGAATGGTTTAGATGGTTAGTAGTTGAGGTTATAAGAGTATGTGTTTAGGGGTTTAGAGGTATCTGGGTTTCAAGGGTTAGTGATTTACAGTGTTAGGTGTTTAGTGGTTTGAGAGTTGAGGGTTTGACACCTAGACTTTCACAACTAATATTGTCCATAATAAAGTTTTTTTTTGGGTTAGTCTCCAACACTAAATGGCACTTTTTGTTGATGTGACACATTTTACTAATTGGCTGTTTCGGGTGGTGGTTGGTTTAACGACACGTTTATATTTACATAATCTAACAAAAAAAACCTTTATGGGTTTAGAGGGTTCCGGGTGTAGTGGATTATGTGTTTAGAGGGTTAGCATTTTAGGGGCATAGGTGTTTTAAGGGTTAGGCGTCTAGAGGGTTCGTTCTTTAGAGGGTAGAGGTTTAAATGTGTTGGGATTAGGTTACAGATTTAGGGTTTTAGAACGTTAGGGTTTTGAGGGTTAGGGTTTTAGAGGTTGAGGATTTAGGAGGTTATGAGTTCAGAGGGTTAGGGGTCTAGAGGGTTAGTTCTTTAGAGGGTAGTGGTTTAGATTGGTTGGTATTTAGAATGTTAGGGATTTAGGGTTTTAGAAGGTTAGGGTTTCAAGGTTTAGAGGGTTAGGGATTCAGAGGGTTTAGAGGGTTTGGTTTTTAATGGCTTAGACGGTTAGGGTTAAAAGTATAAGGGGTTTAGAGAGTGAGGGTTTGAAGGGTAAAGGGGTTGAGGGTTAGGGGTATAGGAATTTAGAGGGATAGGGGTTGAGATGGTTAGGGTTTTGGGGGTTTAGAGGTTAAGCTTTTAGAGGGCGAGGGGTTTAAAGATTAGGGTTGTAAGGGTAAAGGGGTTGAGAGGGTTAGCGGTTTAGATGGTTATGGATTTAGATAGTTAGGGGTTTAGAAGTTTAGAGGGTTTTAATTGTTCGATGTTTAGTGGTTAAGGTCTCTGTGCGAGTCCAACATGTTTGTATGAGTCTATGGTAAGATAAAAAGAGTTCAGTTTAATTTGTATATTTCGAAACAATTTGTTTACCTTTCCTGTGATGTTTTTGTATTGTATTTTTGTTGTTATTTTCTGACCCACCCGATTGGACGTCTGTGAAAACAGATCGTTATAGCTTATCAGATTCATCCAGTATCAATAAATATTCAAATTCAAATTCTATTGACCTCTGTGCGAATCTATGGATTTCTGTGTGAGTTTTTGGGCCTTTGAGAGTATGGATCTCTGTGTGAGGCTCTGGGTCTCTGTGCATGTCTATCGGTCTCTGTATGCCGTATGGGGTCGCTGTGTAAGTCTGAGTGTCTATAGGAATGTATGGGTCTCTGTTGGAGTCTATGGGTTTCTGGGTATGGTTGTTTGTGCGAGTCTTACATGCACAAATTTAACTTAAAATGGCCATTGAGGGTTGCGGAATCCAAGTTGAAAATTAAGTTCCCTGCAGTGCAAGCCAGCTCTCTAGTCATGTCATCAAACAGCCCCTTTAATTCTTTATAATAATAAAATAGACTTAGTCCAGGAAATCCACACTGAGTCACAGTCGGGTCCTGAATTGTTTTTTTAC